AAGAAGTGGCATTAGAAGAAATTTAAGTTTAAAAAAGTTGGCTCTCAAAAGAAATTTCATAGGGGCGGGGGGGCAATGGTAAGATATGTACACACATAATAATTTAATAAAAATAAATAAATAAAAAGGAAAAGAAGAAAAGAAATTTCAATCATTGTACTGTTGATATTTGGCTCTGTTGACTAATGAGTTGGCTGACCTCTGAGCAGGAGGATCTGAACAGAGTCCATGCAGAAGTATAGACTAAGAGAATGAGAAAGGGTTTCCCTGCTGGTGAGACCAAGAGTAGCAGATACTTGGAGTTGGGAAGTGAGCATCTTTAGCTAGCAGTCAGGAATTGAACTTACCTAATTGGAATAGAAGACACCCTTAAAGAGAAGATAAAGTGTCAGACAGGGACTAGCTTAATGAAGAAGCAGCCAGGTGATTTCCATGTTGCAGGAATGTTAGTCCTTCCGTATTTAGGATGCAATCATGGAGGGTGGCTTTAGGCATGACCATCACTTAAGAAGACCTCACAACCATGGGGAAAGGAATAGCAGGAAGGTTATGCCAACAAGGGGATGGAAAAAAGGCTTTTTAAAGGCCCAGATCAAAGATTTACTCTTTTCTTGGTGATGGATAAAAAGCAATACAAAGTCAGTGATGACAGAAGCTGGGACTGGTGCATCTGGGGAGAGAATGGTGACTGAGTGGGGTTTGGTCTGATTTTAGACATTGTGAGTCTAAAGTTGCATCCTGAAGGGGGTGTGGCAATCTGTGCTGCATGTGGCACTAGGAAGATATGGAAGCAGAAAACACCCAATCAAAACAGCAAAAATAAAACAAATTAAAAAGGGGAGTCTTTGGGACAACTTCAAGTGTACCAACATTCTCATCATGGAGATCCCAGAAGGATAAGAGAAAGAGCAATAAATTAAAAAGATATGTGAAAAATAATGGTGGAACACTCCCCTTACCTAGACATACAAGTCCAGGAAGCACAGAGTCCTGCACAAAATGAACCTAAAGAGGCCCACACCAAGGCATATAATTAATATATACCAAGGCATATAATTAATATATAATATTAATATATAGGCATATAATGACAAAAAGAGAATCTTAAAAGAAGCAAGAGAAAATCAATTACTTACCTAAAAAAAGAGTTCCCATAAAACTATCAGCTGATTTTTCAACAGAAACATTTCATGACAGGAGGGAGTGGCAAGATATATTCAAAGTGAGGAAAAGCAATGTCTTTAACCAAGATTACTCTACGCAGCAAAGTTGTCATTTAGAATTGAAGATCAAATAAAGAGCTTCCCAGACACAGAGGAACTAAATGTCTTCATCACCACCAAACCAATATTAAAAGAAATGTTAAGGGTCTTTTGTAAGAATAAGAATAAAAAAGATAAAAATGTGAATAATAGAAAAGCATAAGTACATATCTGTCAACAATTAATTGTAAATGGATTAAATGCTCCAATTGAAAGACATATGGAGGCTGAATGGTTAACAAAACAAGACCCTAACACATGTTGTCTATAAGAGACCTACTTCAGATTAAAAGACACCCAGACTGAAAGTATAAAGATAGAAAAAAATATTTCATGAAAATGGAAAGAAAAAAAAAAAAAAGAACAAAAAAAGCTAGGGTAGCAATACTTATACCAGACAAAATAGACTTTAAAACAAAGACTATAGCAAGAGACAAAGACACTAGCAATTCCAATTCAGGGTGGGGAGGGGGGTAAGACACTAAATCAAAGAGCATATACATCTATAAGTTTATTGCAGCATTATTTGCAATAGCCAAGATACGGAAGCTACCCAAGTGACAATCAGTAAGTGAGTTGATAAAGATGTGATGCATATATCCAGTGGAATATGACTCAGCCATAAAAAAATAATGAAATCTTGTCATCTGTAACAACATGGATGGATCTAGAGGGTATTGTGGTGAGTGAAATATCAGACAGAGGAAGACAAATGCCATTTAATTTCACTTATATGTGGAATTAAAAAAAAAATAAACAAACCAGCATAGCAGAAACAGATGCATAATACAGAGAACATTTTGAAGGCTTCCAATGGGAGGGGGTTTGGTAGATGGGTTAAAAAAAAAAGTGAAGGGTTTAAGAAGTACAAATTGGAAGTTACAGCATAGTCATAGGGGTGTAAAATATAACATTAAATAATATTGTAATAACTATGTATTATGTCAGGTGGGTTATAGATGTATCGGTTGATCATTTCATAAGTTATATAAGTGTCCAATCACTATGTGTACCCTGAAACTAAAATAATGCTATCTGGCAACTGTAATTGAAAAATTAAATAAAGGGAGGAATTCAGATGACTAAGTTGAGAACTGTAACTCCAAACCAAACCTGTAATGAAGTGTCTATGTTTATCAGGGAAGCTGGTGGTCAGTGTATTCTCCATTGATGTTATTCTGTATCAGTCTTCTTGAAAATCCTGACTACAACCCTCATGTAGGACTTGGATGGGTGAAAAAGCAGAAGGGGAATGTAGTCAAGAACATTGTGGTAAGTTTCACAGTGTCAGATTATCACTAGTCCTAAGGGGGTGGTCACATGGTGAGGTATAAAAATGTCAAATCACAGCACTAGCTGGTTTGGCTCAGTGGATAGAGCACTGGCCTGAGACTGAAGGGGCCCGGGTTTGATTCTAGTCAAGGGCACATGCCCAGGTTCCGGGCTGGATCCCCAGTAGGTAGCTAATTAATGATTCACTTTTGCCATTGTTGTTTCTAGCTCTCTCTCCCTCTCCCTTCCTCTCTGAAATAAATAAAAATATATTTTTAAAATAAATTTAAAAATGTCAAATTGCAATATTGTATGTAAAACTCATATGGCCAATATAATATTGTATACCAAGTACATTTTGTTAAAGAAGAGCAAATAAAGATCTCGATTACAGGAAAATAAAAAGGAAATGAGCAAATCTCAACTGCAAATTCATTGCTATCATTACAGTCCCCTAAGGGTGGAGCAGTTTCCTAGCCTGCTATGTACCACACGTTCGTTATTGGTGAGCAGAGCCCAAGGCCCAAGTATATAGACAACACAGAGACCAGATTATGTTCTCCCGGTAACCAATCTCCCAGAACCTCATCCTTGTTCTGGGCGAAGCGATCTCCTGGCCCTGGAAGCTGAATGAGGTTCCCAGTGCAGGAGAAGCTGTGATCACAAGGAAAGCATAGCCATCTGCTAGACACACCGACACAGGGCAGCTGCTCTAACTATCCCCAAGAGAGGGTTTTTCTCCATTTCTTCTTTTTTAATTTGGTTCAAATTATCACATAACTGCACACTGGTTTGGAGCAGCAAATTATTAATTTTTTCCCCTCTTCAGACTGTAATTGTAGATATGGAAACACCATATCAAAAGACAAATTAGCATGTGTTCCCTCCAAAGTTCTTACTAATTATCGCAGAAACCAGAGCCTCCCTGAGGTTAGAAACTTCAGCCCAAATTCAGGTTGGGAACACGGATTTCTTCCAGAGAAGCAGAAATAGGTATCACGTTGAGAAGGTAGAGAAGAGGTTGGGAGTGTCATGAATAAGCTGAAAACCCATCCTTGAAACCTTCCTCCTGCATCCCACCCCTGCCCCAGCACCACAAAGAAGGCCAGGAGAGGGACCCTGGCAGAGACAGAAAAAGATAAAGTCACAGGCCCATGTAACGTTACACCCAATAGACTTGAACAGAATGTGTGCCAAACAGCCCCCTCCTTTTCACTTAGAAAAATCTCACAATTTTCAGGAAACGCTGCAGCCTCAACTTCAAAGGCATTACCAAAGAGATGTAGCATGTAGGGAATTAGACATAAAATGTCCTTTATTATTGGGAACAAAAGCGGTGGGTCTAATCTCCTGTGTAATACAGGCTTTAGCTGATCAGGGTTACACTGAGCCATTCTGATGTAGGGAAGAATGAAGGCACCATCTTTTTATTTCTTCCCATCCCTCCTCCTCCTCCTTCTTTATGTGCGTATATGCAAATTCCACAGCAATGAGGGGAGCCCAGCAATTCCTTGGAGGGCAAAGGCATTTCCTTTGATCAGCCTCTTCCAGGCCTGGAGCCCCACAGCTTCCATTTCTACCTGCCCCTTTGTGAGAGTTGATGTCTCAAATTATACTCCTGCCACTCTCAGAACTAGAATACATTAAGCCATTCTGAAACTCATCTATGAGGAAACTACATCTTTAAAACAATTATTTCCTTCAGTTAGCCTTTTGCATGTTGGTATTTGTTGTTATATTATTACAGATTTATTCATAAAACGAGTTGTTTGCCCACAGAACCATTGCCGAGGAGAGCTGCTGTCGGAGGTTATGCACATCACTGAAGCTAACATCTGATAAGCAATAAGAGGTAGGGACATTGGGCAGAATACTGCTGGCTTCACCAGAAAACAAAGCCTTCTGTGCAATGGGAAAGGCAGATGGCTGAAAGTGCTTACTCGCTAAAAACAAATGGAATTTCTAAAATGTACCCCAGCATCTTACAGTACAGAATTTCTCTTCTGCAGTCATTTTCATATAGTAGTAACGTATTCTGGCTCAAAAAGAAACTGAATTGTTCTTCAAAGCTTTAAGACATGTTTGGTCTCACAAACTGGTCTGGGTTCTTTGGCATTTCTTTCTACTGAGCAAGGTCCTGGGACTGAGTGAGGGGGACAGAATGTCTCCAAATGAAACAAACTCAGAGGACGGAAGGGGAACAAAATCAGTGAATTTTATCCACGGGAATGATAGGGTGAACCCATCCACACTCTCACACATGCCCTGTGTTCATTGTGGGGTTCTGCTAGCAAACCTTCCTCTCATCTCTGGATCCATCGCTGGCCTGCAGGAAAGAAAGACCGAGGCGGGTGGCAAAGTGTTTGTGAGGAGCTCCGGCTGGCGGAAGAGAGATTTTTCAGAGAAAATAGGATCAAGGACACGGATGCATTTATGTAACGAATGTTCAAAAGTGGCCGCACTTACTGAATGCTGAGCCGGATCCAGGAAGCTGTGAGTTCCACTCGCATGAGGTCTTTGAGCAGTTTCCTAGGGAAGAAGAGAAGGAAGCCTTTAGAATCGGGTGTGCATTCTTGAATTGTGTCTGCATCTTTGTTTATGATAGTAACTTCTTAAATATGTTCTTGATCATACAGTGAATTTATCAATGAGTGATGATGATGATGATGAAAATGATTAAACTCAAGTCTGTAAATAGATTTTCAGTAAATCCTTTTACCCTCCAGTTAGAAAGATGTTACTATTTTCTGTACTGCAGAAGAGGAAACCAAGGCTCAGATAGCTCAGGTAAATTGCCCAAAGTATGCATGTAGCTGGTGGAGCCTGGATTTGAACTGGGGCAACTGGACACGGAGTGTAAAACCCCTCTGCTAGACCTTGCCTTACTCAGTGAGGTCTTCCTCACAGGACATGTTCCAGGAAGGCTGGAGGCCAATCTTTCAGAAATTTAATTGTGTATTTTCCTGCAAAAAGCCAGGTGGAAGGAAATCAACACTAAATTTCCTTTAAACTCTGGATCTCCAGAGTTTAGATCCTGCAATGCTCAATCCCTCAGAGCTAACATTCAAAGAGACTTCATTTGCAATGAACCAAACTGTGATATAAGGTGCCCCATCGATAATAAAGTTCATGAACATGGCTACCCTCAGACAATCAGGAGGAGTAGTTTTCATTTTCATTAATATATAAATAAAGCAAATATTGCCTGAACTGCAAATGGCCATTATAATTTCATATGCTTCAGTGAGTCGGGTAGAGATCAGCTGCAACCAGAAACATTAAGATTTACTAATAGAACTGAAAGATGCAGATGGTATCCCGTACCCAAGAGAGTTGACCCTGACCTGCTTCTCCCTGGGGGAAGCTGAAGTAGAACAAATGGGTCTGGTTTGCAGCATTCTAGAATCCAGATCCAGGGGCTCCTATAAAGTAGTGATGCAACTTATGCCACAACTTAATGCAATTCAAAAGTTTCAGAGCTTAATTATTAACATTTGCAGATAACTGTTTAGAAAATAGTGTCCAGCCAGCATGGCTCAGTGGTTGAGTGTCCACCTATGAACCAGGAGGTCATGGTTCAATTCCCAGTCAGGGCACATGCTCAGGTTACAGGCTCCATTCCCAGTGGGTGGCATGCAGGAGGCAGCCAGTCAATGGTCGTCTCTCATCATTGACTTTTCTCTCCTCTCTCTCTCTCTCTCTCTCTCTCTCTCTCTCTCTCTCTCTCTCTCTCTTCCTCTATGAAATCAATAAAAATATATTTTTAAAAAACTAAGGAAAAAGAAAATACAACCCCTTTCTTAATATAATGGACCCTTTTTTTTTTTTTTAACATTCTTCAGATTTGGTGAGCTTACTGGTGTTGATAAATAAAACACTTGAAACACTTGAGAACATCAAACAGTTCTAAAATATTAGAGAGACCTAGGTCTGGAGAAGAAAAAAATCAGGTGGTGAAGATGGTGAGGATAGTGTTTATCCATCCTTCCTTCCTTCCTTTCTTCCTTCCTTCCTTCCTTCCTTCCTTCCTTCCTTCCTTCCTTCCTTCCTTCCTTCCTTCCTTCCTTCCTTCCTTCCTTCCTTCTTCTTCCTTCCATCTATCCATCCCATTCACCCATAGCTCCACGACCTACTCATTTTTGTGACCATGGACAAGTCACTTTAACCTTGCTTGTCTCAGCCGCCACCTCTATAAAATGAAAGTAAACAGAATACCTACCTCAACAAATTTAATTGAAGTGAATATTAAGAGTATATTTGTGAAGTACTTAGCATTGTGCCCATTGCAAAGTCAATGTTGTTTAAAAAGTTAATTTTTTAAGCCCTTTTTTATGTTGGGCACTGTCCTCTTGGTGCCTACAGTCCAGTGGGGAGGACAGAGCTTGGTCAGGAATGTTGGGAAGGTTTTGCCGAGGAAGAGGCGATAGAGCTGAGATTGTAATGATGAGAAGAATGAAGTGGGAGAACAGGATTTAGGGAGAAGAGTTAGGACATTTAGGAAGTGAATAGTCAAACTATATGTTTATCTTCTATAAATTCATATTATACCTCAGCTGAAGAATTATCTGTGGCATCATCATCATCATTGAAATATAATAATAGTAATTCTCTAGTAGTTTTATTGAACCCATAGTGTATCTCAGTCTTTGTATCAAAATCTGCATGCATCTTCTCATTTAATAAAAATAATGACAGCTCCTATGGTCAGGTTCAATGTTCTTAACCCCTGTCTCCTCTCCTCCCCAGTGGCTTCCACCACTCACTAAGTCCACTAGCTCACATACTCCAAGATCTGCCTAAATGGAACTACTTAAAGACACAGGCACTGACTGTTACACTTCTCGCCTGTAGGCCGCATTTTTCTTCCTGAAATGCCCTTCATGTGGGCCCATCTGAACTCATTCTTCAAGATCCACCAAGTGTGAATGTCTCTCTGCAGCGTTCACTGACTCTTTTATCCCTGCTGGCCTTTCACATGTCCTAACAAGAACCACATTATGATTTCCCTAATCCATTGTAGACTTGGCCTGCCAGGCTATGAACTCCTAAAGGGCAAGCACTATGTTCTCTTCAATTCAGTAGCCTTATCCTCTGGCACAGTGGCCAGCCACTTAGCTGTTGCTGACTGCACTGGGCAGCACAGGAAGCTTTCCTCATTGGCCACAGCCTTACATCACCAGGAAGAGGCTGGGCCTCAAGAAGAGGCTTTCTCTGAGCACCATGGCTTCTCTGGCCCCTCAAACTTCCTATCTAGATAATAACATTAATTTCATGTCCATGTCTGCTTGATGCCCACACTTTTAGGCCTATTTTTAATTAAACCTGCAGTTCCACTACATTGTACTCTTTATGTTAATAAGAACTTGTCAAATCCTCCAGGTGGATTGTTTCATAAAATGCAAAGGCTGAGAACCGTTGTTACAAGGTAAGAAGAGGAATGGTGTTTAGCAATGGTACTAGACAGCAAGAAAAATCAAAGATGCTCTCCAGAGTTCCAGAGGAGTGACATCGTTTAAGCAAAAATACCAGGACTGTCTTGAGTTTGCAATTACTCCTGCAAACAACCTACAGAGCGGTTTACACCAGGGAGAAAGAATCCTGGGCCCCTGTGGGATGGATGGAGTGCACACTGTGCTGAGACCTTGCTGGGGCCACTGAGCTGCAAGCGGAGAAGTGGAGGGAGAAGTGAAGGGGAGCTCTCCGCCCTGCACTCATCCACTCAGTCCACATGGATGCACAAAGTAGCCAACCAATTTTGATGACCCTGTAGGGCAGTGGTTCTCAACCTTTCTAATGTCGCAAACCTTTAATACAGTTCCTCATGTTGTGGTGACCCCCAACCATAAAATTATTTTCCTTGCTACTTCATAACTGTAATTTTGCTATTGTTATGAATAGTAATGTAAATATCTGTATTTACATTAGATATCTCAACCTAAAGTTGAGAACCGCTAGCAGGGCCACCTTAACCATCAGAAAACACAGATATTCACATTATAATTTTATGGCTGAAACCGGTTTGGCTCAGTGGATAGAGCATCGGCCTGCGGACTAAAGGGTCCCAGGTTCGATTCTGGTCAAGGGCATGCACCATGGTTGTGGGCACATCCCAAATAGGGGTGTACAAGAGGCAGCTGATCAATGATTCTCTCTCATCAATGTTTCCAATTCTCTATCCCTCCCTCTTCCTCTCTGTAAAAAGTCAATAAAAAAAAAGAAAATAACTTTATGGTTGGGGGTCACCACAACATGAGGAACTGGATAAAAGGTTCACAGCATTAGAAGTTGAAAACCGCTGTTGTAGGGGGTATGTTGTTTAAGGTTGTAATTCGGACTGTACACAGGGCTGGCTCCTGCAACATTTCTACTTCCATGGTCTCTGCCATCGATGGCTTGGTGGCTTTCCCCAGGCAGAACACCCCGCAATAGGCTGTTAAGCTCTCTTCCTGCCTCTAGGCTGCTCCTCTCATGCCACCAGGAGCAGGTAGAACGGCCCTAACATAATGGGATGCACCATGGACATTTCCCATGCTGTGCAGGAGGGACCCCTGTCCCTGTAACAGCCTAACACCCTGCATGGTGCGCTCCTGGTCACAGCTTCAGCCTTATTTATTTACTAGTGAGCAGGCACCACCAACTCTCTAGACCCCTTATGTACCAGCCCCAGGGACCTTGCATTTCTGGGTCATCCTATGCTCCCCATCTGCCACAGGGGAGTTGCAGAGGCTGTATCTCTGACCTGGGATGGTCTTACCCCCCAGTTACCTCGCATGCATCCTTACTTCCAGATGAAAATCCTACTCCTGGTCTTAAGTGCCTGTTATCCTTCCTGCAGAGCACATCTCACAGCTATCATTTACTAGTCAATTACAAATGGTTTTGTTAAAGTCTGCCTGTTTCACCAGCTTTTTAGCTTTGGGTCTAACTCTAACTCTGGCCACATTGCTGTGAACATGGGAGACATTTGATAAAGATTTGCCAAAGGGAGGAAGGATGGAAGGGAGGAAGAAGAGGGGGGAGAAGAGAGAAAGGAAGGGAGGAGGAAAGAGTGAGGCTTACTGGCCTCTTGCTAACTTTAGGCATTGTGGGGTGGCCATGCAGCCCCTCTGAGAGCTGTTTCCAGGTTGTAACTGGAAAGCTGTTTCCTCAGCCCCTCTTCCTCTTCATCCCAGAGACATGTCTGAGGTATTCAATCCTGGCTCCGCTAGGGCAGTGTGGAGCAGGGATGGAACCCTCTCTGATCTAAGTTCCATTTCTTAGAAGCTTGGAAGGCACTGATAAGTTCCTAGAACTGAGGACTCAGTGATTGTGGGGTCCCTATTCTCTGCCATATGATCGTGGAGAGAAATAGGAGGCAGGCTTTGGATCAAGAAGAACGGTGGAGAGAGCAGAGGCGAGAGTGGAGGGGCCGTGGGGAAGGGAGGTTTCCCAGCGGGATGGGGACCATATTGGTCCCTGATCGCTTGGTGACTCAAGATGCCAGGCCCTCACAGGACTCAGCACACCTCCTGCCTCTCACTCTCAGTGCT